AAAAAAAAAAAAAAAAAAAAAAAAAAAATTGTGTATGATAAATTAAAAAAAAAAAACTAATATTCAAAAAGAAAAAATAATTAAATATGTAGAAAGGTTGGAATTATATGAAAATTGACAAATGTATTTATATTTAAAATTTTCTTTAAATATTTATCATAAGGAAATTAAAATATTAAGGATTTTCATTAATACTATAATATTTCAGTGAAATACAATTTTATTAATACATATTAAAACTTATCTTTAAAAATTAAAATAATACAATGCTATTTAAAATATACGAATAACACGTAGTTATGAAATTAATTATAAAAAGTTAATATATATATATATATATATATATATATATATATATGTATGTATATATATTCATGTATATAATGTTAAAGTTCTTTATAGTGTGATAAATGATATATAAATAAATCAAAAAAAAAAAAAAAAAAAAATGGGGAAAAAAAAAAAATACACTCAATATTTATCTAAAATCAAACTTTATTAGAACAACAATAAAATATCTCTTTATTATTATAATTAAAAATTAATGAAATTTGTAAATAATAATTTTCCTATATAAAATATATCTGCAATATTTTAAGAAAATAAATATTTGAAGTATACAATTTTTCTTTTTTGTTATTATTCTTTTATTTTTAGTTCATTTACGTAAAAATATTTTTATATTTATATATATGTATATATACTTTTCAATAATTAAATTTTAATTCATATTATGCAAATTTTATATTATATAAAATATTAAAAAATATAAATATTTTAATATTATTTTTAAAACATTGATAAAATGAATTATTTATTTTTATTTTTATTACTCCATATACAATTTTAACTATAATAAAATATATAAAACGTGTAGAAAAAAATATTTATTTTTTTATTTTAATCTTAAAAATTAGAAATATGTATATATAAAAGGTTTGAAACAATAATAAAAAGTGCATGTAATTAGAGAAAATTAAAAATGAGAACAATTTTTTTTTTTAATTATGGAAGTACATTGTCACGAAATTATGTAAAAAGAAAATTAATAATTATTTTAACAGAATAAATAAATATTTGTATATATATATATATATATATATATATATATATATATGTATGTATTTTATAAATATTATAAATATATTTATTTTTTATCACTTTAATGATGCACACAAAAATTGTGAAAAAAAAAAAAAAAAAAAAATAATTCAAAAGACAAAAAAGTTTTAAGAAAAAAGTGAACATAAGCTTTAATTTATTATTCTAAAAATTAACTTTTTTTTTTTTTAATTCTTGTATTTACACTCTCATTTTATTGGAATATATATTGACATACTAAACAACGACATAAGATACATTTTGATAATTACTTTAACGTTTAATTTATAGAGAGAAAAATTAACTTTCTTTTAAAGAGATTATATTTCGGCACTTCAACTATATATTTTTTTTTTTTTTTTTATTTGAATATAATAAATTTATATATATTTATATATGTATATTATTTCTAAAAAATTTGAAAATTCACAATTTCAGCCAATATTTAATTAATCATTTCTTGAAAATATTATAGATACAGATAAATGAACAAAAAAAATTCTAAGAAATATCATAACAGCAAATTATGAAAACAAATTAGAAAATATATATAAAAAAAAAAAAAAATCTTTGTACATAATAACACTGTTGCAATTCAAGATTTAAAAAGTATTTTACCCTTAAAAAAAAATATATTTTTTAGGTGTTATTTTAAATTATGTTTAGTTTTTATATGTAAATATAAGAAATTCTAATTAATAAATTATGAGCATATGAATTTTAATAATTAAATAAGAGAAATTTTAATTCCTATTTTTATACTAGGAAATATTTTGATTTTTATAAACTCACAAGTTTATATATTTTCTTATTCTTATAAAAATGCCATTTATCAAAAAAAATAAAAAATAATTTTTATATCAAATTACTAAAATGAAAAGTTATCTTTATGTATGCTAAAATAATAAATCTAACAAAAAATAAGTGAAAATAATATAAAAAGAAAAAAGTATTATATTTATAATTAAATATTATATTTATATTAAAATATAGTAACTCTAGAATATATTTGTTTACATACTTCATTATATTAAAAAATGAAATATAAGTTTATTCATATTTTTTTCTTAAATTCCTTGAAAAAACCATTATAAGAAAAAATTTTTTAATATTCAAAAATTTTATTACATATTGTTTTTTCACTTATAATTAATAAAAAATATAACCCAAAACATACTAACATTAAATAATGTTATAAAATATATAAAAATAGGATTTATTTTATTTTTTTTTTTTAAATTTTTATGAAGTATATATAACAACTTTAAAACATATTTACAATTTTATTTTTTTAAGAAAATAGTAATCTTAAAATAACTTTATTTTAACCACTTTATTAATATGTACTTTAAAAGCTGATATTTTTATTTTCATATATGAGCAAAGTACACATTCTCTTTTAACTTTCTTTTTTTTTTTTTTTAATTTGAAGTATATATAGAAAATAATATATTTTTATACAAAAATATAATATAAAAAGTGTTTTGTTACATTTTGAGATTATATTTTAAGATTAAATAAATTGTGGAAAAATTTTAAGTATATTTTTCATGAAGATAATATTTAAATAATGAAGAAAAATGATATGCAAAAAAAAATTTTAAAAATTTAAAACTTTTATAATTACAATAATAATAAAAATGAGGATATGCTTATATATATATATATATATAGTAGTGAAACAAATTATGATATCCGTAAAGACCTAAAACATAATTAATAAAAGAAAAATGAGTTTAATAATACCTGTTACAAATAAGAATTTAATTTCAAAAGAATTTAGAAAAAAATTAATTGTGAAAATTTTAATTGAAAAAATTTTTAAAATTAAAAATGAAAACAAATATATTAATTGTATCCCTTTTTATGATTTCATATTTTATAAATATGCTAGATGTTTTTCTTTGGAAGATTGTTTTAAATTATTTTTTTTACAAAATATAGACTTCTGTTTTAATATGAAACTTATTCGTCATATATGTACAACAATAAATAATTCATCTATTTTTAATATATTAATGTTTAAAAATGAGTTTATAATAAACCATATATATAAATGTAATATTTTAAAATATAAATGCTATTTTATAAATGAGTATTATAATTTTATATATAATATTTTACTATTATGCTCAATTAATCTATGTTCTCCTAATATTTTTAAAAGAATTTATGACCAACAGAAACAAATGAAATTAAAAAATTTAAATAATTTTTACAATCATAATAAATATATAATATTATATAATTTGAAAAATGAAAATAATAAAATAAGAGATATTAATTTATTTATAAAGTTATATAAATGTTTTAGTTCTAATAATATATACCCATTTTCATTTTTAAATAAGTATTTCTACTATAGCTTTTATATTTCACCTTTTAAAATAATAACGAGAAATATTATTTACAACAATATTTTTAATGGAAAAAGTTGCTTCTCTTTCAATTTAGAGCTTTATAAAAACATTACCTATCTAAAATTTCATGAAATATGTCAAGTATTGTTTTATTTATCAAAAGGTAATTTATTCTTTTATTATGAATCTTTTTTAAATACCTACTTCTATATTTTAGTTAATTATATATTTAATTTGATATATAACAATTTCAATAATATATTTACGTGTTTAAATGTAGAAAATAATTTTATAAAAAAGGAAGAGAATATAGATAACCTTATAATGAGTTTTATAAATTATTTATCTTCTTCATATATAATAAAAAATATTTCAAAGAAAATTCCTTCTGTCTTATTGTGCATTTATATCTTTTCTACGTTATTTCATTTATTATATAAATATCAATTTCCTTATTTTAATCTAACAAACTTTAGTAAAATAAATAATAATAGCATTAATTTTATTTTATTAAATCAGAAGGACATTTATTTAAGTAATTTATCATTTATAAAAAAATATATTCTACTTTTATATATTATAAATGATTTACTTCCTTTAATACGTAGTAAAGTAATTTATAATAAGGAAAAATATAATGAACAAATAAACAAAATAACAATAGAGTTTGAAAGAAGTGTATTACAAAATAATATAAAGAAAAATAAACTTGAAAGTCAATGTAGTGTAAATTATATCAACCAAGACAAAATGGATGATAAATGTCATACAGATAAAATAGAAATTTCTGAAAATTTTATAAATAAAAATGTAAAATTATTTTTAAATGAATTATTTTCAAAAAAAAAAAAAAATATATTCAATTATGTACAACTTCCTTTTTTGAAATTACTTTACTATAAAATATTTATATATTCTACATATAATAAAAATGAAGATTTTATAAATAGGAAAAAATCTGCTTTAGAAAAGGAAATATTTCAAGAAATACAGAATTACATATGTAAAAAAAATTCAAATTATATATGCTTAAATAACAATAGTAATGGTAATATATTCTTTACGGTAGATATTGAAATATATAAAAAGAAGAAATAAAGAAATTCTATAATTTTTTTTTTTTTTCTTTACACTTATTTTATATTTATTATTATATATGTATTTATAAAACAAAAAAAAAAAAAAAAAAAAAAAGAATAAATAAATAAAACTTATTTTTCGAAATTATTATTTTATTTAAATACCTATAAAACAATTTGATATTAAAATAAAAAAAAAAAACTTTTTTTATTTATTTTGTAATTTCTTATTAAAATTAAAGGATAATTTTTTTTAAAAGTTTATAAATGTTTTTTATGTAAGAATTTATGCTTTATTAAAAAAAAAAAGGAAAAAGAAGAAAAGACAAGAATAAATTTTATTATTATTAGTTTTTTATCCTTATATACTGACTTATCTGATACAATTTATACTAAACGATAGTAGAATAAATTATTTCAGAAAGAAGGAATAAAAATTAGTAAAATAATAATAAAAAAAAAAAAAAAAAAAACAATTATTATTAATTTCAAGTTATAGGAATCAAACATCAATATATAATAATCTTAAAATTAAGTAGAAAAAATAGTCTTATAATTATAAGAAAAAATATCTGTGTAAAAAAAAAATAAAATGAATCTTAAAAAATAATAATAATATTTGACATTAAATTTTGTTAAATTTGGAGTTTATAAAAAGATATTTTATGAAAGTTATAAATAAATGTTACTCATTTATAATAAATGTGATGTTAGTAAGAAACTAATTAAATAAAACTAATTTTATAGTATGACTTTGTTTTTTATTATTATTTTGTAAAATTTATAAATTTTATGTTTTTTACTTTCTTAATTATTTATAATTTCTACTTGTAAAAATGAGTGAAACTATTTTACCTAATACATCCACGTTAGAAAATAATACTGTGATAAGCTTTAATTTAGAAACGAAAAATAACATTAGATATGTTGGAATATGCATTTATAATATAGAAAGCAATGAATTTTCTTTATGTGAATATATAGAAAATGAACACTTTACTGTTTTGGAATCTATATTAATTCAATGTAGACCTACTTCTTTTTTATTTTTATCTAGTAACGATCTAATAGATGATAAAAGAATTAAAATGATATTAAATTTGTGTGAAATAAAGTTAGAAGAATTATCAAAGGATTATTTCCAATCAGCATCTATTGAAAATGACTTAAATAAATTATTAAAAGAAAATAATATTAAGAATTATATATCATTTTTGGATTTATTAATTGCATGCAAATCAATGTGTAGCATAATAAAATATCTAAGCTTGCTTAATGACGATAGTGCAATTAATAAATGTACTTTAAAAAATTACAACATTAATGAATATGTAAAATTAGATAAAGCAGCTATTATTGCTTTGAATATATTTTCAAATATATCTAGAGATAAAAAAAATACTAATACAATGACACTATATGATCTTCTTAATAAATGTAAAACAAAAATAGGAGAAAGAAAACTATTGCAATGGGTAATGCATCCAATAAGAGATGTAAAAAAAATAAATGATAGATTGGATATAGTAGAGATATTAAAAGAAGATAGTGTTACTAGATCAATGATACAATCTGACTATTTAAGAAAAGTGTGCGATTTACAATATATAATTAAGAAATTTAAATTATTCACAAATAAAAAGGATGATGATGACAAAAGAATTGTAAAAAACAAAAATTGCTGTACCATTCAAGATTTAGTCAAATTATACGATTGTATAATCGTATCAAAAAAAATTTATTATTGTTTAAATGATTATAAAGGAAGACATAGAAAAACTTTAGACAATAATTTTTTAAATCCTTTAAAAAATATCATAATTAGTTTTGATTCTTTTTTAAAGCTAATAGAATTAACAATTGATTTGGAGGAAGTAGAAAACAATAATTACTTAATATCTCGTAAATTTGATGAAAATTTAGAAAAATTAGCGAATGAAAAAGATCACATATATAATTTAATAAAGGAACATAAAATAGAAGTAGAAAGTGATATAAATTTTTTAAAAGGAAATAAAAAAAATAGTACAAAAGAAGACATAAAATTGGTAGAATGTAACACTAATGTATTTCTATTTAGGGCAGTAAAAAAAGATATAAATTACATACAGCAAAGAAAAAAAGTATATTTTCAAGTGAGAATGAACAAAAGTGAAATTTTGTTTCATACAAATAAGTTAAAAGATTTATGCAGAAAATATGAAAATATATTGTATGATTATAATATAGCTCAAAAAGAGTTAGCTAATAAAGCCATACAGGTAGCATGCTCATATTGGGAACAAGTTGTAAAATTATCAGAAATTATTTCAGAAATTGATGTATTATGTTCCTTTGCTTTTGTTAGTTCATCAAGCATATCTTCATATGTGAGACCAATAGTAGAAGAAGGTGGAAAAATTTTACAAATGAAGAATTCTCGTCATCCTTTACTTGAATCTAATTTTTTATTAATGAACAATTTTATACCTAATGATGTGTATATGAATAAAGATGATAAGAGATTAAACATAATTACAGGTCCTAATATGGGTGGAAAAAGCACATATATCAGGCAAATAGCTTTGATATGTTTAATGGCTCAGTTGGGTTGTTTTGTTCCATGTTCTTATGCAAAATTACCAATTTTCTCTCAAATTATGTGCAGAGTTGGATCTTCTGATATACAACTAAAAGGAATATCTACTTTTTTTTCAGAAATGATCGAAATTTCTGCTATTATAAAAAATGCTGATGAAAATACTCTAGTCATTATTGACGAATTAGGAAGAGGAACTTCTACTTATGAAGGATTTGGTATCAGTTGGTCTATTGCTAATTATATTTTAAACCATATTAAATGCTTCTGCCTATTTGCTACTCATTTTCATGAAATGTCAAATTTAGAAGAAGAATCCTCAGGAGCTATAAATAATCATGTTGCAGCTAAAATTGATAATGAAAAAAAAAAAATTTCTTTTCTATATGAAATTAAACAAGGATATGCCGATAAAAGTTATGGAGTTCATGTGGCACAAATTGCCAAATTGCCAAAGAATGTTATTGATAAAGCTTTTGAAAAATCTAAAGAACTAGAATCAGTAGAAAATAGACATTATTTTAAAACCAAATTAAAATTAAAAAACAAAGAGAATGATCATATAAATACCTATAATCAATATTTTTTACATTTAAAAAATATTTTCAGAGCACATGATGAAAAACAGTTTATTTCTAATGTAAAGGAAAATTATTCTACTCTAAAGGAAATATTAAACAAGATATAGAGTCTTTTTGTTAATTATATATATAAAAAAAAAAATACTAAAAATAAATATTAATGTGATAATAATAATTCTATAATTAGAAAAAAGATATATTTCAAAAATATAATAAAGCTAAACTGTATTTACTTTTATTTATTTATGTGCATTTCTTTTTTTTTATTTCTTGCTTCAATTTTACAAAAAAAAAAAAAAAAAAAATATGAACGGTGAATGTTAAAAGTAAATACAATATATATATATAAACCTAGAAATACCAAGCCATTATATATATAAGTTTATACATTTTTTTTTTTTTTTAAATTCGTAACATTCCATATACAAATTAAACCTAATATTTTTTTTTAAATTATATTTTTCTTATAATTATTTTACATAATGAAATATGGTAAACAAAATAAATTTAAATAAAAAAGGGATAATACAAAAATGTGATATTTAATATAAGAACTTTTGCTTTAAAGTTATGTTAAAAAATAATATATTCATAATAGAAATTATATTTATCCATATTAATTTAAAATATAATATAATAAATACTATTAATTTACTAATTTATTTTTGTTAAAAATTTTAAATAAGGAATATTTAAAGATATATCAAAAAAAAAAAAAAAAAAAGTTGAATGAACTATTAAATTTATAGTAATTTTATAGGCGCATTTAAAAGTGCCTGCATAGCTTAGTTGGTAGAGCATCCGCCTAGTAAGCGGAAGGTCATCGGTTCGAATCCGGTTGTAGGCTATATTTATAATATATAAAAATTTATATATATATTATTTACAATTTTATTAATTAAAAAAAAAAAAACAATAAAATACTAACATGAAGTATAAAGTAATATTTTAGTATAAAAAAGTTTTCAAATTAAAAAAATAAAAAATCTAGTAATACGCAAAAGTACAAAATTATACTAATTTCCTAATAGAATTTTATTGATAAAAGAACTGATTAGTTTATCGAGTATTTATTAACAAACCTATTACGAACGTGTTAAAATATATTTTATTTATTAATTCAAAAAAATCTGCTTTTTATTATTAAGAATGATTAGTACTTTAAAAAATTAAAAAAGGGAAATTCATTTTTTAAAATTTTCTCATAAAAATTAAAGTAAAAAACCTTTTATATAATAATTTACAACAATAACTAATTATATAAAATACTTTATATTTTTGTAATAATAAATGTCCAAAGCAGGATTCGAACCTACGTTGCCACGTCCACAGCGTGGAGTCCTAACCACTAGACGATTTGGACATTAATTTTAATGTTTCATATTCTTTTGTTATTATTCACCTTTTATTAAATTTTTCCATATTATAGTTGATTTATGATATTCATAACACTTATACATTTTATATAAACAATAATAATAATAAATATTTTCAGATATTTTGATAAAATTGTTATATATAAGAAAGTAAAAAATATACTGAAATAATTTGAAATTATGTTATTATTAATATTTTATTAAATAAAATATATATAGAAATATAATGATTGAAATATATATAAAATAAATTTAAAATATATTTTTAAGGGGTGATATAAAATAAACTATAAATTTTTATTGGTATAAAAATTTTAGAAGTTCATATGTACAATTAATATATGTTAATATAAATTTTTAAATATATTTATTATTAATTATTTATATACAATTAATATATGTAAATATAAATTTTAAATATATTTATTATTAATTATTTATATGCAATTAATATATGTGGATATAAATTTTTAAATATATTTATTATTAATTATTTATCTTCTTCAATGTATTGTAAAATTTAAAGAAAATTTTTATCTTTTTTTAAATATAGTTTATTTATATGTAGTTATCAACTTAAGCAGTTGCCACCTTAGCTCAGTCGGTAGAGCGCCAGACTCTTAATCTGGTGGTCAGGGGTTCGAGCCCCCTAGGTGGCTAAGTTAAATTTTCAATTATAGGTTTTAATAAAATAAAAATAATTCATTATTATCCTTTCTAATAAGAATAATAATAAATAATATTTAATATATTAATACTTTAATTAAATGGACCACTTAAGTTTTTTATGTAAAATAATTTTAACAATTATATTATTATTTATAAAATATAGAGAAAATAAAACTTTCTGAAACTTATGGAAAACCCTATGTTTATTCTTAGAAGGAAAAAATAAATTTCATATAGATATAGTTTAACATTTTTCATTGTTTAAAGTTTTTTTCATTTACTCTAATTTTACTTGGTATAATTTTTTAAAGAGAAAAACATATAAATTTAGACTTTATATTAAAGAATATAAGATTAATCTATTAATATAATAAGATTCCTACTTTTTAATATTTTAAACAAAATTGAATATAATTCAATTTTTTTTTTTTTAAATGTGCATTAAAACGTTCTTAAAAATTAAAGTAGTTTTAAATACTTTTAATATTTTATATATAGAAAAGCCTCCTAGGGGACTCGAACCCCTGACCACCAGATTAAAAGTCTGGCGCTCTACCAACTGAGCTAAAGAGGCTATTGGTAGGATGGTGTCAAATGAAAATTATTTGAATTTTTTTTTTTTATTTTAAAGAAAACTTATTTTCTTTGAATAATAAAAATTTTACTGTATATTTTTTTTTATCTTTCCTATTTTTTTTTATTATATAATTATGTATTAATATATTAATAATAATAATGTAACAAATAAAAATAATATAATACTTTTTTCACCAATTTTTTTTTTTGGAAATATGTTATAAAAAAACAATCTATAAATTTATTTCTTTATATTAAAGAGATAAATATATACTAAAAATATATATGTATATTAATCATATAAAATACTTAAAATACAAGATATTGAAATAAAATTTAAAATAATTTATTAAAAATATAATTATTATAAGTTTAGTGAAGTTTCCTGAATTTCTTAAAAGCCATAAAAAATAAAATGTTGAAAATCAAATAAAGAAATGAAAGCATGAATGAACAAAAAAGAACATTATTTTTTATGTATTTTATTATAGACACATTTTCTTAATTTTTATATTTTTAATATTTAACTTTTTATTTTATATTTTAATTAAACCTTATATATCTTTTAAATTTTATGTAAACCATTATATATTATATTTTATATATCTTTCAGTATCTTCTTTATATATTTATATCCTCCATATAACAAAAATAATCAATTTCATTATTTTTTTCTTCATTATAGTCATCCTTTTTAATTTTTTCTTTTAATTAATTATTAATTTGATTGTCTTCCTGTATAATTATTTGTTCATCTGATTGATTACTTGTTTGATTAATTATATGATTATCTACTTTATTATATAAAATGCTATTTATTTCATTACATATTTTTTCATCTGCATAGCTATCCATTTTTTCGTTAATCTTATCATTTGTTAGATTATTTCCTTTCATTTCTATTTTATGTTTTTCATCATCACTTGATTTTTTATTTTTAAAAGATTTAATATTTTCAACGTTTTGCATGTATAAACGACATTCACTAACATTGTCATATAAAAATATTAACAGATCAGTAAGTTTTTCCAACTTATCATCTAAATTTTCTTTTTTATTATTAATTTCCTCATAATCTTTTAATAAGTTAATATACTTATTTTTTAAATCATTCATATCGTTATTAGACATGATACAATATTCTTTTTCTTTCAAAGATAATATACTTTTAAGATTTGCATTTTCCTTTTCTGTTTTATCTGTTTTTTCTTTTAGTAACAAATAAGAGTACAAAATATTATTTATTATATCATTTTTTTTCTCAATAATATTATTTAAGTATATTTTTTCTTCTATATGTTTCATCTCTTGTTTTTCCATTTTATGTCTTAGTAAAGAAATATCTTCATTGATATTTGCTGATAATAATTTTTTCTTATCTGCTTTATTAACATAATGATTTTTTTTTTTTTTTTCTTTTTTTCCTTTTTTATTTTTTTTTTTTTCATCTTTTATTTCCCTTGATTCTAATTTTTTTCTTTCATATTTTTGTTGATTATTTTCTTTTTCTTCTTCCTTTTCCTCATTTATATTTCCGAATTCTTCTTCTTCCTCTTTATATCTGTTTACGCTTTCGTTTTCCTCTTTTATTTCATTTTTTTGTTTCTCCTTGTTTTCATCCTCTCCTTTTACTTCATTCAATTCATCTTTTTTCCCTTTTTCTTTTCTTTTGTCATTCTTATAATTTATATATTTATTATTTTCAATTGTAAGTTTTTTCTGTGATGTTCTTTTTTTTTTTTGAGCATTTTTTTTTTTATATTCATTATCTACAAATAAACCTTTTTTATTTATTGATGTTTCATCCTTTAAAGAGCTTTTTTTATATAATTGATTTTTTGACTGCTTAAAAAAGTAAGTCAATATTTTATGATGAATAAAATTTGAATAAATATAGTGAATAAAAAATATATTTTTTTCATTAGAGTAATAAAAGAAATATTTTTTTCTTCTAATATCTAATATATTTTTAATATTTTCATTCAAATTTTTTCCATTTGTAAATGAAAAATTAAAATATTTTTTATCAAAAGCATATTTGCAGAAATCGTTTAGAAAATAATATATAATATTAAAAATATCTTTTTCTATAATTATTTTTATTAATTTTTTTTTAAATTCATCATCTTTTTTTTTATATAAATAAATGCTAATATAAACACATATTAGACATTTTACTTTCTTACTTATACATTTAAAGTTTAACATTTGAAATAAAAGTTTTAAACCACATATTTTTTCATTTATTTTATTTCTGTATAATATTAAATTTAGTTTAAATGTTAAAATATGTTTAGTTATATTGTTATTTAATTTCTTTAAGTAATATTTACTCTTTTTTTTGTAACTATCTATATATAAACTGTTATAATAAATAATTTCTTCAAAATCAATTTCATAGTTTTTTAGAATTTTTTTAATCATATTATTTTCATCACTTTCTGAATTAATACTAGCTAAACTGAATACTTTAAGAAGAAATTCTAACTGTGTGAAATATTTTAGAAAAAAATTTTCTTTTCTTATAAATTTGTGATATTTATGAACAGTAATATCTTTATTATATCTTTTTTTCTTTGAATAACACTTTTTAATTATTAAAATTTTTTTTTTTAATTTATTTATATTATACATTATACAATAATAAAAGCATGTTTTCTTAAAAAAAAAAACATCATTAATGAAATTAGAAATCGCCATGTATTTTTCACATAAACACATTAAAAACTCATAAATATTCTTTTGAATTATATCATTTTTTTTATCATAAAAAAATAAAATTAATAGCAAATCTATATATTTAACTTCTTTTAATTTCTTTAAGTAGAATGTAACAACATTTTCAATATAAAAATAATTCTGTTTTTTAAAACTTGCTATTATAAAATTATTTTCCTCAATATGTATATCTAAATAATTATTTTTGTTTAATAAATTCCCTTCATTTTTATTATTATCATTAATAAAACTACTAAATAAAAAATTAACACCACAGTTCTCATCATAAAATATTAACTTACAGCATATATTAAAAATATTTATAAAATTAGTGTTTTTGAAAACTTCAATTATGTTATCATATTCTAAGAACACATTATTGCTACCATCATTATTATTTTTATTATTATTATTTTGTTTTTTTTCCATTTCATCTAAAGATTCATATGTATTATTATAATTTTTATTTGAATAATTAATGTTTTGTAAATTTTCATTACTCATGTTAATTTTTTTCATTTTTTTTTTATTATACAACATCATTTTATGTAAGTAAATAAACGTAAATTTAAAAAAAAAAAAAAAGGAGCATTGAATAAACTGACCTCTAAGAAATATGGGACTAAATTTATTTAAACTTATATCATAATTATTTTTATTATTAAATCTACATACGCTAAAAATTATATCTAAAAATATATTAATAAAGAATATAGTATTATTATAAAACTTATATAGAGATTCTTTATAGATGTATATAATTATATTATACAAATTGTTAATCAATTTAATGAATTCATGAAATATATTTAATTCATAAATATATTTTAAACCAAATTCACTATTTATTATTAAGCACTTTAAAAGTAATAAACTACTTTTAATATCTATATTTAAAGAAATGTTATCAAGATAGATCTCTACTTTATTTATATTTTCATTATTTGAAGTTTCTTTTTTCATAAAATTCAAAATATAATCATTATTTAAATTTTCCTCATCAGTAAAACTAATATATCTTTTTTCTTCATTTTCTCTTTTTTCCTCTTCTTTTTCTCCTTCATCTTCATAGTCCATTTCAGGTTCTCTTTTTTTATTATTTTCTCCTTCTTCTATTACAGTTTCACCATTCTGATACACATTTGAATTTATATTACTTTCTTTGTTAATATAATAATTTTTTTTCTCTATATTTTGATGTTCATTTTTTTTTTTTTTTGAGTTATCTAATAAAGGATTTACCTTGCATCTTCTTTCAAATGGATGTAATTCATAATTTTGTGTTTCTCTTTTTCCATTATTAATATATTTTTCTATTTTTTTTTTTTTTTTTAATTTGTTTGAAATATTAAAAATTTTTGTTCTATCAAGTATTTCTAAATTAATATCTTCAAATAAAAATTGTAAATCAGGAATTTCTTTAAATAAATAATAATGTTCTTCTCTAATTATTTTTATAATAGTTTCAATTACCCTTTCGTAAGTAATTATGTTTTTAATTTCTATATTATTTTCAGATATTAATAAAAATAATAAAATTATTTCATTTATAAGATAAGCATCTTTATTAGAATCAATTATTGATAATAGTTTGCATATAAAATTGTTTTTATGTAGTATTAGTTTATCTATATTACTTCTTATATTCTTTATTTTGTTGCTTCTAAACATAATTAAAAATATATTTTCTTCACAGAATTTTATTTTTTTCTTTTTTTTTTCTTCATCAAAATCTTCATCAATCGAAATAAAATTACTTGAAATATCAGAACTGAAATAATTATAGTTTTCATATTTATCTTCATCACTAGTAGAATTAATCTGAATTTCAGAATTTGTTAACTTTTGATTTTTCAATATATCCTCTTTATTCTGATTAAATTCACTTTTCTTTTTATTAGAATTTGATGAATGGTCAGAATTATATATATTTATGTTACTTTTATCTATTTTATCTTTTTGTATTTTTTTTTTATGTTTTGAAATGATCTCATTACATGTATTTTCATTTGAAGGTAGAGAACTTTGAGAATTATAAGCTGTCTTCAACATATCTATTTTTTTATAATATTCTAATTTTTTTAAATTTTTTTTAATTATATCATCCTCATAAAATAGGTATGATCTAAATTTCTTTTTAGTTGTAATAGAAAAAAATTCCTCATTTTCATTTATATAATAATTTTCATTTTTATTTTTATAAGTTAAATTTTCATCTGAATAATTAAAAGGAAAATTAAGATAATTAATATAAAGGAATTTATTTTTTCTCAAATTATTTATAATTAATAAATAATGATCATATATTTTTTGAACAAAATTATTTTGCTCTTTTAGATTTAATTGACTTTCAGAATAGTAGTCATGGTACAATATTTGAAAACATTTTAATGAATATAAATTGAAGAAATAAGAATTAATATTATTCGAATAAAATATATTATCATACAAATAAAAATAAAAATTTATATTATCATATATATATATTTTTTGTAATAACAAAATAAGATCATATAGGATGAATATAGAATTATTGTTCTCAAAAGAGAAAATAGAAAATAACAAATCACAATTATTTGTCTCCTTAAATAAAATATTCAATTTGTTTATATATGTTTTTAATTTATTACAATCAATTTTTAGACTTTTTTTATGAAACATATCTTTATTTAAACATATTATTTTATTCAAGATTTCTAAACAGTTCAGAATTATTTCTTCAAATAAATTAAGTATATTATTTTTTGTCAAAATTTCAAATTTTTTTTTGTTACTTTTTAATTTTTCATATACATTAATTATATTTAAAATTTTGCAAAATTGTTTAATATATGATATGCTAGAATTTTCGTTATCAAAATCATTTTTTATATTCTTTATTTTTTCTGTGTACATCAAAATATTATTTGTATATGTTTTACATTCATCAATAATTATTATATTATCTTTGTTACTCTCATTTAATAAACTATCAACAACATCTTTATTATTTAAATCATGAACATATTTTAGCCATTTCTCTATATCTTCATTTTTATTTTCATTGTTTATTTTATTCTCTTTACTATTTGATTTCTGTAACTTTTTAAATAAATGATAAGCCATTTAAATTTTTATCTTTAATACAAAAAAAAAAAAAAATGTAAAAAATATATTTTCCTTATGTTTTCCTTTATACTTTTTTCTTTTTTTTAGCTAATTCATGAATTTTTTATTGATAAATTTCCTTTACAAAAAAAAAAAAAAAAAAAAAAAAATAAAAGATTTTTTACAAATGAAAAAAAAAAATAATAAAAAAAATTATATAGTAAAATAAAGTAAAAATAGAAATTTATCTTTTTATTTACCCTTCATTTTCTTATTAAAATGTTTCACATTATTAAATTGAATTTAAGTCTTTTTTTTTTTTTTTTTTTTTTTTTTTTNTTTTTTTTTTTTTTTTTTTTTTTTTTTTTTTTTTTTCCCAATAGATAGTAATGTATATATATACACATAATGATTTATTTTTTTCTTTGCATTCTAATGAATATTTATATTACTTTCTTTTTCATTATTAATTTTAACGAAGAAAGATGATGTTATTTATTTATTTTAAATCCTTTTTTACAAATCTTTTTTTTCTTTTTAATTAAAATAAAAGAATAAAATAAGAATAAATACTTAAATTATATTATTGATAAAAATATACATAATTATACTTTATTCACAGAATACAATTTATGTTGTATGATATTTGAAGAATAAATACATTTTAAAAATTTCTTTTATAAAATTCTTAATATTTATATAAGATAAATTGTTTATTTATATATTTCTTACATAATGCTTTGCAAGTCAAGTTAAATTTATTTAAAAAAAAAAAAAAAAGAAAAAGAAAAAATGTAAGTTATATTGTCTTAAAAAAAAAAAAAATAGAAAAATAAGTAAAATAAAATGAGTTCTAAAAATGTGAATATAGGAAAAAAAGAAAAACAGTATAATTTTTATTAAAGAATTATACTAATTGAAAAAGTTACAAAACTATGAAATAAACTAAATGTTTATGAGTGTAATAGAATTTTAGATAAAATGAATAGTAGGATATATAAATGTGAGAATAGGGAATTTCTTTGGCCTTTTTTTTTTTTTTTTTTTTTTTAAGGAAAATATATCATATTACATTTAATAAGTGTATTATTTGAAAAATTTTAATTATAATGAAAATATTTTTTCTATAACTAGTTATTTTTAGGATAAATATAAAATTTAAATATTATTATTGTAAAATTCTCTTATATTATTTTGATATTTACATATATTATTTAAAATAAGAAATTGCTTATGTATCGTATTATTATAAATAGAACCAAATTAAGATTTATGTTTTTCTAAAAAATACAATATATTAAAAAATTTAAACGAATTTATATGTAAATGAAATGTGGCGTCACGAAACAAAAAGAACAGTGATGTTTATATGATAAGAGGAACAAAATAAAAATAAAAAAACTTATATATTGTGCTACGTAGTGCAACAATGAAAAATATATACAAATGAATATATTACTTTCATTATAAATATTATATACTTATATATATACTTATATATATACATATATATATATACTTATATATATATATATATATATATATATACTTATACATGTATTGTATATGTATATATATATGTATATATATATGTATATATATATATATGTATAGGTATATGTATATATATATGTATAGGTATATGTATAGATATATGTATAGGTATATGTAAATGTATATTTATATGTATATGTACATTTATATGTACATTTATATGTATATATATATATATATATGTATATGTGTATGCATATATATATATATATTTTTATTCTGTTCTTAATTAATATCATGTATTAGGCACTTTTAATGCATAATAAAATAAGTTATGCAATAAAATGCGGGAGACTGTTAGAAAAATTAAATAAAAAAAAAAGAAAAATATTAAAAAAAATAACAAAAGAAAGTATTATTTTTATTAAAATATATATTGATAAATCATAAAACATGGTAATTAATAAAAATGTTAATAAAAGAGATTTTTTTCTCCTTAATAACTTTTTTTCAGTAATTCTAAAAATCATTCTACACGTAATTTTTTTTCATTATTTTACTTTATTCGAGCACTATGTAATATTTTAGAAAAATTCTTTTTTTCTAATACTATAAATATATGCATATAAGTAATTAAAATAGAAATAAAAAAAAATATATGTATATAAACATATATACATATATTTATATATATACTTTTATTATAATAATAGATGTAATGTATTACTCTTTTTTTGCTTTTGAAAGAAAATTCTATTTTATTTTTTTTTCTTTTCTTTTTCTTTAATATATAAACTAATATATTATTCTATTTATTAATAGAAAGAATTTTTGTGAAAAAAATATAATTTTATTTTATTTTTTTTTTTTTTTTTTGTTCACTATTTAAATTTAAATATGAATATTTTATTTTTGTCTTTATTTATTGTTCCACATATTTTAAGTTATTTTGGGAAATTTAGAAATGGGATATGTGCTCAATCTGTTAATGGTATTATAAAAAAAAAAAAAAAAAAAAAAAGACAGAAATTATAATTTTAAAATAAAATATAAATGTAGATAATTATATACTAGAATTTAAAAAAAACTAAAATATTTTTTTGCATATATATATATATATAGAAACATTATATTAGGGTAATGGAGTAAATAAAAACTTCCTGTAATCATTTATTTAAAAAATTGTACAAATATAAATATAATTTAATATTTTTTTATTTTTATCAGATAATAATAAATATGAATATGAAATTAATATAGATAACATTAATATTTTAAAAGAAGAAGCTTTTGAAAATCATGCATTTATTTTCTCCAATATAATATTTGAAAATTTTTATAAGAAAATATATGATGATTTTCTAAGAGTTCCTAAAGATATTAACGGCATTAGAAGTTATATCAAAAATAACGAATTATTGAAAACAATAAATAATTCTGTAAATATAATTTCCCCAAAAAGAATATCTAGAAAATTATATGAAGATTTACTCTATGATGATTACTATGATGATAATGAGAATGTTGATAGATTTGAATATGATTCTGATAATGAATATGAAGATTTTTATGACAAAGAAAGCTTTTTAGAAACTAATAATTATTACAATAATGCAGATGATCATAATGAATATGAGAACTATAATGATAATAATATAGAAGAAAGTTTTTTAGAAAAAGATAATTATAATGAAGAAATGGATGATGTATATGATCATAATCCTAATGATAATATAAATGCAGAAAGTTTTCTAGAAAAAAACGAAGGCATGAATGATGATTATGATGCATTTGAAGAAGATTACAATGAAGAGCATTATGATGATATGTATGAAGATAATAATTATTACAATAATTATGAAAAAAATGAGACTAATGAAGATAATTATTACGAAACTAATAATGGAAATAAAACATTTTTAGAGGATAATGATAATTATTCTAATGATGAAAAGTATAGTACTTTCGTTTCTCGATTTTTAGAAAAAGATGAAAGTTATAACAATAAAGATAATAATGATATAAGTAATGGAGAAAGTTTTTTTGAAAAAGGTTCACATGATAATAGATATTATGATGAGCATGATATAGATTATGATAATGATTATGATAATGATTATGAAAATGATGATAATACTTACCTTGATTCAAGCTTTTTAGAAAAAGGAAGAGGTAATGATGAATATTATGATAATTATGAAGAGGATGGTAATGATTATGAAGAAGATTATAATGAAAATGTTGATGATGAATATGGATATGATGGTAATAATACATGATAAAAATTTCAAAAAAAAAAAGTTTTTTAATAATTATTAGAACTATATATAAAATTTATAAAAGTTAAAACAATATTATTTAAAAAATAAAGAATTGAGATACTTGAAAAAAAAAAAAAAAAAATACTAATGAAAATTAAAATTTTTCTCCTAAAAAAAAAAAAATGAATAACTTTTTTAATTTATTCTTTTTAGGTTTCACAAACTCGGATGATACAAATTATGAAGAACAAATGGACATAAATGGAGATGCATTTGATAATCATCATTTAAATGAAATTAATCAAGCTCAAGATTTTCATTCTTTTATACAAACTGATGTAGACTATGTAAATAATATAATTGATAAACATAAAGATATAAAACACAATGATAAAAATGAAGGAAAAGAATTAAAGAAAGAATCAATGATTAAAAATAATAATGATGAGACTAATGAAATAACAGAAGATATTAATGATCCTAATGATGAATTAAATGAATTTATTGAAGATGATATTAAGGATACAACAACGAACGATGAAAATATCAACCCTGTTTTAAATAATGAAGATTTAACGGAAGAAGATAAAATTAAGGAAAATAATGAAGAAATGATAAATGGAGAATCTGATGACATAATAGAAAATGATAAAATGGAAGAAGGCACATTAAATGAGGAAATTCCTGAAGGTACAAATGAAGAGTTACTAGAAAATCCAATTTTCGATGAAACGTCTGATATAAATAATAATGAAGAAAAAGTCAATACATTAAAAAATGATCTAGAAGAAAATGAAAATCCAGAAAAATATTTTGAAAAATTAGATGAAGATTTAACTGATCAAGGAATTAATGAAGAAACATTATTGAAGGATAATGAAGATGTAAATGATTCTAAATTTATGCAACATAAGAAAAGAGAAAATAACATTTATCCTCATAATCATCATGCTGGTACTTCCTACAAAAAAGAAATTAATCAAAATAAGATTTCTACAAGTGATGCAAATATTGAACTCCAAGGTACATAAAAGAACAAGAATAAATAATATTTATAGAAATTTTTTTATAAAAGAAAAATTATAAATATAAAAAAAAAAGAAAAATCTTTATAAAGATTTCAATACTTATATATTTAATTATTCATAAATAAAATTTTCTTTTCTAATATCTATAATAATTTTTTTTTATAGATCACATTGAAGATGAACAAAATGATGTAACTAAATTGGAATCCCAAGAAGGTAATTTTCATAATAGTCTAAAACACAAGAATTCATATATATATATATATATATATGTGTTTACTTATATAAATATTTTATAAGAAAATTTTATCCATATTATTTTTTCTTATTTTTATTTATTTTATTTATTTATTTTATCATTTTATTTATTTATTTTATTTATTTATTTTATCTTTTTATTTATTTATTTTATGTTTTTATTTATTTCATTTATTTATTTTATTTTTTAAGAATTTAATATTCCTATTGTTATTGAAGCAAGGGAAATTCATGTTGATAATGAGAAAGGTTTATATTCATTTTTTCATTTTTTATGATCTCATTAATTTATATCATATAATAAAATATTAAAATTTTTTTTTTTTTTTTAGAAATAAATGAAAACAAATCAACTGGTTCCATGTCGATTCTAAGTTCTTTAGTTATTCTTTTGATTACCTACTTATGTTTAATGAATTAATAGAAAACAAAAAAAAAAAAAATATGTGTAAAGAAGTATAAATTTATGTATTTATTTTGTTTTATTTTTATTTTTTTTTTTTCTTTTGCACATATATTAAAAAAAGAAAAAAAGATAAACACTAATATGATAGTTGGAAAATTTCCTCAAAATTTAATGTATTTTTAGTTTTTTTAATTTTTTTATTTAGACCTTATGTTTATAAATTTAATTTTTGTTTTTGGTATTATATTTTTCCTTTTTCTTTTCTTTTTTTTGTTTTTACACCCATTATTTTTTAAAAAAAAATAACCATACAAAACTGAGAAATAATATTATCTTATATATAATGAATTTTGCATATATTACTTATTCTATAAAAATATTTTTCTTTTTAAAATTTTTTTTTTTTTTTTTTTTTAATATAATATTTTTCATGTTTCTATATATATTTTTTTTTTTTAAAATATAAACATAGATTTTCACTTAATTTTTGTTTTGTTTATAGTTTATGTATTCTTATATTTGTTTCTCTTCTATATACCTTTAACGCTTTTTTTTCTTTTTTATTTTAAAAATAAATATATTAATAAAAAGCTATAGTATTAAGAGATGTTTTAGCTTAATATTTAAATATATGATTATAAATAATTAAAACATATATTAACTCCTGTAGTGTTTCTACATATAAATATTTCAGTGATTAAAAAAAAAAATTAACGAAATAATAAAAGAATGTATTTACTATATAAAGAAACCCTTCTACATTTTTATAATTTTTTTAAATAAAAGATTAAAAAAAAACTGTAGATAAAATAAAATGAAGTATTGTTAAATTGATATTTAAGTATATATAAATAATTTAAATATTTTAATAAAACTTTCAATGCATATAATGAAAAATTAATAAAAAAGTAAAAAAAAAATTGTAGGATAAATTCATTTCTTAAATAATGTTATAAAAAAGATCCTTTTTTTTCATACAATAAGAAAAAAAAAAAAAAAAAAAAAAAAATCTTTATTATTTTTAAAAATATGATTTTTGTTAAAATAAAGTAATAACAAACAACTTGAAATTTATTTGATTAATTTTCCTTGTTATAATTTTATATAATTTAAAAAAAAACAAATACAATAATAAATAAAAAAATAAAATAAAAAAAGAGAATGTTTAACTTAAAAATAAGTAATAATAAAAAATATATTTTTTTTTTTTTTTTAAATAACTTGATATTATAGGTCTGAATACTTCTTGAATTCATTAATTAAAAAAAATAAAAAGAGGAAATCAAAATTTTAATCATAAATATTTTTTAACAAGGATATATTTTTTTAAAAGTAGATAATTTGAAAAGTTATAAAATAAATAAAATTTATTTTTTTGAAGAAATCAAGTTTAACTATTTTGTAAAACAGTAAATATAACTGTAAAATATATTTTTTAAAAAATCTCATATATACATATTGAGAGTCAAATATTAATTTAATAAAATTGAAAATGAATTTTCCTAATATATCAAAAAAGATTGTTTCACCAGTAAACCCTAATAAGTCTGGTTCATCAGATGAAAAGATTAGGGAACACATTACTGGTAATTTTGATCCGACAGCCTTAGAAAGGGGTGCTAAAGCATTAAAAGAATTAGATCAATCTTCTAATTCAAGCAAAGCTTTTGAATTAATAAAATTACAAGAATTAACAAAACAAAAAGAATACGAAAAACAAATGGAAGAATTATCATTACAGAGAGCTCAATATTTAAGTAATAGAACTAGAATTGAAAATGAAGAAAAAAGAAAAACGATAAATTATCAACAAGAGCAAGAGAGAATAACAGCTGAATATAAAACAAGATTAGAAGCAGAAGCTTATCAAAAAAAATTAATGGATCAACAAAAACAAAATGAAGAATGGCTAAGAAATCAACATGAACAATATTTAAGGCAAGAAAATATAAGAAAAAGAAATGAACTAGAATTATTAAATTTAAAAATGAAGCAGATAAGAGAAGAAAAATCCTTAGAAAGAGAAAATATGAAAGCAAAAATACAAGAAGAAAATAAAGGTTTAATAGAAAGAGAAAGAAAAAATTTAGATATTCATTTAAAAACATTAAGAACAAAAGCAGATGAAGAAAGGAAAACAAAATTAGAAAGTATAAATAAATATTTTGAGCAAATAAATAATTCTATGTTTTTATTTTTAAATGATAAACAAAAGTTATATAGGTTTGTACTTACAATTACACTAACATCCATTGGAATATATACAACTAAACATACTACGCGAGTTATTAGAACATATGTAGAAACAAAATTAGGTAAACCAAAATTGATTAGAGAAACGTCTTTGTGGCATATTAACAAATTTTTTGATTTATTCAATTTAAAAAAAAATTTCTCACTATTTAAGAATTTTATAACAAAAAAAGATAAAAACAAAAATATTTTTGATCAAATAGTATTAAATGAAGAATTACAAGAAAAATTAACTTGGTCAATTAACAGTTTGAAAAATTCAAAAAAATATGATCTTTATTTAAAAAATATTTTATTACACGGACCTCCAGGAACAGGAAAAACGCTTTTTGCTAAAACTTTATCTTATTTTAGTAATTTTGATTATATAATTATAAATGGTGGAGATGTTAGTGCATTAGGTGTTCATGCATCTGTTGAATTGAATAAAATTTTTGAATTTATTAAAAAAAGAAAAAATAAAAAATGTATAATTTTTATTGATGAAGCGGAAGCATTTTTAAGAAAAGGAAGAAATGAATCATCTCCCCATTTTTCAGAAAGTCTTAGAAACGCTTTAGCTTCATTTTTATTTCATACAGGAAATGAATCAAAAAAATTTTCAGTAATCCTAGCAACAAACTGTAAGGACATTTTAGATACAGCTGTTATTGATAGAATTGATGAACAATACAACTTTGATATTCCAAAGGTTAAAGAAATTAAAAGGATGCTTTCTTATTATTTTAATAAATATGTTTTTCCTTTAAATAAGTATAATATTGTTATTGATACTTGCATTAATGATCATTATTTAAATGAATTATCAAATAAATTATATGGTTTATCTGGTAGACAAATATCTAAGCTATGTTTAAATATTCAAAATTGTGTTTTTGGTAGTAATTCTAAAATTGTTTCAAAAGAGTTAATTGATTTAATAGTCAACTGGAACTTAAGCAATTCATTTGATAAAAATCAAAAAGATGAAAATCGTTCAAGCATAAATTCAAATGAAAATAAATCAAGTTCAGATTTCTTGAATAACACAAATGAAAATAATTCTAAAAATGACCATCCATATAAAGAAAAAAACAAATATTTCATTAATAACAAGTTGTAAAATTATATTTAAAAAAAAATAAATAAAAAAAAAAAGGAAGTTAATTATAATTTTTTTAAATAGACTTACTACATTTTTGTCATATATTATATATATACTTACACATATCTCTTATATTTTTTTTAAATAATCAAATATTGCAATCTACTTATTAATATTTATTTTATATTTATTAATTTATATATTTATTAATTTATATATTTATTAATTCATATATATATATATATTTTTTAATTATTTCTATTAATATGATTTGTTAAATTTCATTTATTTGTTTTTAAAATCAAAACCTAAAACAAATTATTTATTTATATATATATATGTTTATATTTATATATTACACGTTATAAATTTAATAATTTAAATTTAAAAATATAAAGATTACTTATAAAATTTATTTAAGAGCATTTTTTTATTTGCATACTTGTCAAATTAATTTTTTATGTTTATGAAAAAAAAAGAAAAATAAAATAAAACATTTAAGTAATTATTAAGTAAAAATTTTTCAATAAATTTGAACGACATTACATATTAAAAATATAATTAAAAACTTTTCAAGCATATAATATACTTAAAATTTGATATAAAAAAATATATATTAAAAATCATCTAGAACTATTTTATCTTTTAAAAGCTCATTTTACATATATTTTTTTTAAAATTTTTAAACACTATTTTTATGTTTACAGAACTTATATTTCTATCAAAAAAGCTTATTTAAAATATAACTTCAAAGTTTCTTATCTTTTAATTTATTCTACAGAAATCTATAAAACGCTTAGTAGTAATATGAATTTTTAAATTATTATCTTCTATCTATTTTTAATATTTTAATTTTGCATTTCATTGAAGACCATATGAAAAAAACATCATTTTAATAACAATATTCGATGAAATGAATATATATTTTATAAATTAAACATTAATTAGATGAAAATTGTAATTATTATTCTTATTATTTCTAGTCCTAAAATTTTATAAAATTTAATAAAGCATTTTTTTATATTTTTTTTCTGAAAATTTATTAAGACGTTTATTGAAAATTTATAACTATTTATAACAATGAAAAAAAAAAAAAAAAAAAAAAAATTTTAAATAATTTTATTTAATGTATGATGCCTATATGAAATTTTTATTATAAGAAAAAAAAAATAAAATAATGGCTTTTCTTTTATTTTTCTGAAATATAATATATTTTAATAAATTATCTTTGCCATAATATAATTAAAATTTTCTATTAAAAAGAACTATAATAATAATTTTTTTTTTTTTTTTTTTTTTTTTTTTACCTTGTTAAAAATATTCAGATGGTATAATTTCAGTAGAATAAGATATTTTAATATATAAAGAAAAGAAAGAAAAAACAAAAGAAGTAAAAAGCAGAGAATGTATATTCAAATGAAGGTATATATCTTTTATTTATTACTACATGTATATATTTTTTTTATGAATTTTATTTAAACTTAAAATATTTGAAGAAAAAAGAAAAACAAAAATAAGTTCAAAAAGGTGGACAATAAATTATAAAAATAAGAATTACAATGCTTAGATGAGATTAAATAATAAAGACAAATTTAAGTGTATTAAGGAACAATTAAAAATAATTTTTTTTTAATGAATCACCATTTACGGAATCGAATAATTTTATAAGAAAAAATTGAATAATCAACATAATATGCTATATGTGATTTAAAGTATATATATATATATATATATATAAATATATTGATAATATTTTGGAAAAATGATTTAAAATTTTTATTGATAATAAAAAAAAAAAAAAAAAAAAAATAATTTGAATAAATCAATGGAAGTTATAGGTGAGGGATGTAAAGTGATTGTTTTAAGAAAAACTGATTTAGAAGAAGAAAAAACAAAAATACACATTGATAATTTAAAAAATTTATATAAAGAATTAGATATTGTTAGCTATGATACTTCTTTTAAAAATATTATTTTCTTTTATATATATTTTCATTTATTTAAACATATACATTTTTATAGTTACATTTTTATAAAAAATTCTGTCATAAAAATTGTTAAAAAAAATGAAATAAAAAATTTTAATATAGCTTTACAACACAACTGGGTGAAAAAATTAAGTTATAATAAATCAAAAATATTTGACAATAGATTTTTCGCTTATAATAATTTTGTTGTTTTTTATCCACATTTTACGAAAATTATAAGAAAAACAATTGATTTGTACCATGATGAGAAAAAAAAAACTTTAAAAAAAATACTGATAAATAAAAAAAACTCAGATAGTATAATTGAAAAAAAATTCAGTAAAATAAAAAATATTCCTAATTATATTACATCAGTAAAAAACATTTTTAATTTAAAGAAGGATATATTAAACTATTTTAAAAAACTAAGTAATAATATTCTTCAGTTTTTAATAATATTTTATACTAGAAAACTAACAAAAATAGCTAATAAAAAAAAGAAAAATAAGTATATGTTTAAAGAAATTTATAATTCTCATGATTTTATTTATAATAGTAATTCTAAAAAAAATGATTTTGGTTATTTAGAAGAAAATTTATTCTCCACTCCATCATATATTTTAGGAAATGAGAAAAATAATAAAATGAACACTATATTGAATAAGAAGAATAGAAATAAAAATGAAAAATATGTAAATGATAAAATACAAAATAAAACAAAGAAGAATATTATTAACCATAACAATGAGCATAATGACATATTAAATTCATCAAAGAAAGATATAAAAGGAATATACAAAATAGATAAAATTTATAATAGTAATGTTTTTAATAATAATGATGAAAAGAAAATAGAAAAATTGGATGATATGTATATAAGTATTGAACTCAAATTAAAATGTGGTATCTCTGATTATAAAAATATGTTTGACAGGTATAATATACAGCAACTAATTAAAAAAAAAAATGAAAATATAAAATATCCATCTTTATATATACCTAGTAACTTTTTTAATCTTCATTACTTGGATATTTTTACTAATTTAAATTATATTTTTTTATTTAAAAGTAATAATATAAATTTTTATATAAATAATAAAAAATATGAAAATACTTCCCCTTATTTTTTTAATTATTTAAGTAATATTTTTTTTAATAATTCCACACATTTACTCATAAGTGAATCGCATGATTTTTATTTCAATTATTTAAATGAATATAAAAATACAAGAAGTTTTTTATTCTATACTTCAGATAAACAAAACAAGAAAACTTGTAAAAAAAATAAGATAAAACATTTCAGAAATAAATTAAATCATTCAAAAAGTATAAATAATTATTTAGATTTTAGAAAGAATGTTTTTATTAATGAAGACTTTATTTTACACAAAAATAAAATCAAAGAAAATTATGAATATTCACATAATTGTCAAATAAAGAAATATAATAAAAAAGGATTTAATTTTAAAGAAATATCGAGATCTTCCTATGAAAGTTGTATATTTAGCAATTATTTTTACATAAAATATATTTTATGTAGATCTTTTGATAATAATATGAAAGTATTATACTCAAGAGAAAAAGAACATTACAATATTTTTTCGAATAAATTGTTATATTTTTTGTGTTATAAAAATATTTATAATAATATAATGAGATATTATAAAAAATGGTTTTACTTAAATGAGAAGAAATGTTATGTAATAAATGAACATAACTTAAAAGATAAATTGAATATTACTTCTCAAAAAGAAAATATAAATAAAAATAATAAATTGGAGAATTATGAATGTTATGAAATGAATAAAGAAAAGATATATAATTTTAACTCATCAAATTTATTTAATAAGTCTTCTTTTTTTTTTATACACATATTTAATTTGTTTTTTATAAAAAAGAAACATCTTAACAGAAAATATAACACATTTTACATAAATGAGAATAGTAACATAAGAATATTTAAAAAAAAATGTATGGAAGTAAAAAAATATTATAATCAATTTTATAATGTATATAAAAAAGTAAGTGAAAAGTTTAAAAAGAAAATTTCTATATTATCAAAGAGCGAGATAGAGTTGAAAAAAAAAATATATAAAAAAATTAAAGGTAAAGCAAAAAAAAACTTTTTATATAAAATAAATAAAAAATTATATTATTTATATAATAAAAAATTCAATAAAAAGTATTTTTTTAATTTTCTTATAATATACAAATTAAATATAATAAAAAAATATATTAATAGTGTTGTATATTCTCTAATTAATATAATGAAAAAAGTAAAAATTATACTCCTAAAGAAAATATATAAGAATATTTGTGAAAACGTAATTTGCTTTTTTAATAGATTAAATAAATTTTTTATTAAAAAGATGGAAGCTAAATATAAAATAAGTGAAAATAAGGAAATATTAGAAAATAAAGATTTCATTAAAAATGTTCATTACAGAAGTTTAAAAATTGAAAAAAATCCTTATGAAATAAGCAAAAATAATGAAATTTTATTAATTTTATCAACTATTGTTAGAAAGGAAAGATATCTATTTTATAAGTTATTATATTTTCAATGCTTTAACGCAGGACAAGTTCAATTAATTTATTGTATGATGAATTTCATCAAAATATTCGAAAAAATGTTCGATTTGAATATGAGTGAGGAATTTTTTAATAATTTCGAATACTATAATAAAAGTCTAAATAATATTTTTAATATAAACACAAATTATTACATTAAGAAAAACAAATATTTGCTACATGTGATTAATACAAAGAAAATTAAAAGGTTGGCAGATTATATTTTTAATTCAAAAAAAAAAAAAAGGGAAAATATAAAATATAGCTCATTTATTTATTTACAAAATTCTCATTTTATTTTAGGAAATGAAATTTTAATAGATGCAATGAATATATTTAATAAAGTTACTAATTATAAATTCAATGATTTAAGAATAGAAATGAAAAAAAATACAAGAAAATTATATATGGAATTATGTAAGCAAAAAGTTTATAAAAAAAAAGAATATTATTTTAGGTATAATCATAAAAAAAAAAAATATAAAAAACAAGTCCGAAAAATTTTAAGTAATGAATCGTTAATAACTATTGACCATTTTCAATATTTAACAAATAAGTCATTTGTTGATATTTTCAATAGTGTGAATTATTCCAAAGGAACAAGAATAAATAAAAAAGTTTTATATATTTATAAAAGTATGATATATTTTATTTGTCGTTTTTTAATAAGCAAAACATTTTGTGATCATAGCACAATATTTAATATATATTCCAAAGGTGATAACTTGTATGATCAAAACACTTCAATATTTTTAAGAAATAATCGTTTTAAATTATTAATTTTAAATAAAACTAACAATAATGTTACTATCAAAAAAAATTACAATACTAAGAAATTTAATTGCCAAAATGAAAATCAATATAAAAATGCTTCAGAAAAAATGAAAAAAAAATACATAACAAAAAATACATTTTATACACATTTCCATCCATCTTTTAAAACTCATTTAAAAAGAAGGAAATTAAGATATAATAGTAAAATTAATAAGAAACTTCAAAAAATTTTAATAAATAAATATATAAAGGAAAAAAATAAACAAATATTTTATCGTATAAGTTTAATTGATTTATCTATTAAATCAATAAATAAAATAGACTACTGGACAAAACAAATGGGTGATATTATATCTACCCATAAAAAATTTTGTTTCAATTAACTTTTGATTTTAATAAGGTTTTATTATTTTAGTTTTCTTTTTTTTATTTTTATTTTTATTTTTTTTGTTTGTTTTATTTGTTGTTGTTTTTTTTTTTTTTTTTCATTTTTAATGAAAATATTTTATTAATTAAAGTATTCATATATGTTTTTATGTTAGCACTTATTATTTCTAATTCAATTTTTGGGATTAATTTTTTTTTATTTTTTATTTGTAAATTTTTAATATTATATGGATTATCAAAATTTTTATATTGTTTTTATTTTTATATTTTATTTCTTATTTTTTTATAATTTTAATTTCTTAAAAAAATACATTTAATACAAAAACTTTTAAATTAATTTTTTAATTACTTTTTAATTACCACAAAAATTACAAATTTCTCGTTTTTTTAAAATAATGAAGATATATGTTAAAAAAAAAAATAAATTTATAATTAAAAGAATATAAATTAATATTTTTAAAATAAAATTTAAAATTAAAAAAAAAATAAAATATATTTATAAAATAATTCATTCTTTTAATTTTATTTATTTATATATATGATAGTATAAAGAAAACAAATTAACAATTTTATTTTTATTTATGAAGTGTAAACATATTAAAAGAATTTTTTATATTTATTTGCATTTATGAGTAATTTTTTTTTATATGTTTAATTACAAATTTTTGTATTCTTTTTAACGATAAAAATGTTTGAATTTTTTTCATGATGTTACGTGAATGTCATTTATATTTTTAATTATAATAAAACATTTTTTTTAGTTTTTTTTTTTTTTTTTTTTTTTGTTTTTCATAATATTTTAAAGAAAATTTATAAATGGAAGAGAGTAAAGGAAGAATTAAGCTAAAAATAAATATAGGGAACGATGAAGATAATAATGTTAAAATAACAGAACAAAAAAGTTCCATTGTGAGTGATGATAATCATAGTAAAGAAAATATAAAAGATGATAATAGTTATATATCAGACAAAAAATTAAAAGAAAAAAATTTAGAAAAAAAAATTATTTCTATTATTTCTAAATTGACAAAAATTTCTTGCATATGTGAAAATAAAAGAAACAATTTAAATAATGATGATAATGCAAAAATGTGTAAAAAATTAGTTAAACAAATGTATAAATATGAAAAATGTTTAATAAATTTAAATTCATATATAAATGATAAAAATCACAATTTAGATGATATAACATTTCCTAGTGGTTTAATAAAAGCAATTGATAATTATATAAGTGGTGATACTTGGATATATAAATACTTATTATTAGAATGTAAGAAACATAATGATAAATATCGTAATTTAATACAAAACATTTCAGCTTTTAATAGTACACTAAAAAGTAAAATAGTAAATAATAATATAAATGATATAACGATGCCAATCTACGCTGGAGTTTCAGAAAAAAAATTAAGTTTTCTAAAAAATGACGAAAAAAATTATTATAAAAATGTTCATATTCCTAAAGAATTAGCTGAACATTATTTAAAGAATTTTAAAAAAAGAAAAATAGAAGAACCCTAAATATTTTTTATTTTATTTTTAATTTTTGATAAAATTTTAAGTACTGAATTTTTTTTTTCCCATGTAAAAAAAAAAAAAAATAAAGGAAAATAACAATATTTATTAACCATATAGGTTATTTAAAAATAAAAAGCAAAAAATATTAAAAATTATAAATGAGTTATGAAAAAATATGAGTTGAATTAAAATCTTATTGCTTTATCTCACTTTCTACATATATACTGTTTTTTTTTTTTTTTTTTTTTGTTTGTCTATTATATATATATATACTTTTTTTTTATCTAAAAAGTTATCAATATTCAAGAGAAATTTATACTGCAAAATGAGATATCCAAGTAACTTTATAATATTTTTTAATTGTAAAAGAAAATTATAATTATATTTTTTTTTAAAAAACATGGTTTTTTTCTTTATTCACATTAGATAATATTTAAAAGTAATATAGTTATCAAATTTAATTCAAAAAAAGAAGACATTTATCTTTGTAATTCTCAAATGTGTTATTTACATAAGTTACATGTTCAATTTAATGTTAATAATATTAATTTTTTTATATAAAGAATATTATTATTTAAATTTAAAAAATGATTAATTATTAGATAAATAAAAACACTTCAGTATTGTAAAAAAGGAAATTGTTTAGATATATTTCAATTTTGGGGTTATTTTTATAAATTCTAAAAAAAGTTTTATAGTTTTATAAACTAATATTTTAAGAAAAAATATAACATTAAATATAAATTTAGAGCATTACTTAATAATTTATTTATTAATAGAGAAAACAAAAATTTTGTTTCTTTTTTTTGTATTGCAAAAAGATCATATATGTTAGAATTATAATAAGTAAAAAAATGTTGTATAAGTATATTGACATTCTGAAAGATATCCTTAGTAACAAAATAAAAAAATATTTTTCTTTTTATTTCTTCTTATTTCTTTTTATTTCTTTTTATTTTTTTTTTATTTCTTTTTATTTCTATATATATAATTCATCTTATACATAGATTTATTTTGTTTTCCAATATATTTATGTCATTTATTGTATGTTTTGTATTTTTGTTTGTTTTTTCTTTCTTTTTTTTTTTTTTTTTTCTAATTTTTTATTATATATTATTAATATTATAGTGAAAAAAAAGTTTAAAAATCTAATTTATTAAATGTTAATTTTAATGTTTAAAAATATAAAAAAATAGTATGGTAATTCTCACAAATTTTCAGTTAAGTGCCCCTTTAATATATATGCATTTTCCATTTAAGATATAAAAAAAAAAAGAAATGTTTTTTTTTTTTTATAAAGTTATCCTTAGAGAAACAAAAATAATTACTCTTTATTCAAAATAATACATATGTAAGTTTAATTAATAAACATTATAAAATGTATTATAATTTTACACTTTTTTTTTTTTTTCTTTTTGTATTTTTTTTATCTTGAGGACAGCATAAAAAATTGAGGTGTAATATATAGAAAATATATTTAAAAAAAGTAATGTATATAATAAATAGATTTATATGATTAAATAAAATTTATTTTTTTTATATTTATATTTTTTTTTATTATATTTGTAAAAAATAGTACAACGTTTTTCTATTTTTTTTTTTTTTTTTTATTTATGGTACTATTATATGAAAATTTTTTTTTTTCTAATATTGTGAAATTTATATAATTTTTTCAAATATATAAAAACTTTAAAAAATTAAACATAAATACATTAATTTATATTTTATATTTTACAGATGTAAAGTCTTTTCTTTTTTTATCTGTAAATTTTTATGGTCTATAAAAACATTTTTTTTTTTTTTTTTTTTTGTTAATATTGTGCATTTTGTAAACAAAATATTTATATCAAAACAAAAATGTAGAATAACTCATTATGTTGTAAAAACTAATATATAAGATATTCTTTATTAATGATGTGCAATTTAATTTTTTTTTTTTATTTAAAAAATATTTTCTATTATTGATAAATATATATAAAAGTAGAAAAGAAAAAAAAATTATTTTTACTAGATTAGACAATATTAAATTAAATGAAAAAAAATTTAAAGAATTTTTGCATCCTAATTTTTTAATTTTTATTTTGTTTTTTATCAATAGTTTAAGAATAAATCAAAATTTTACAATTTTTTTATTTTTCACTTTTTTTTTTTTTTTTTTTTTTTTTTTTTTTTTTTTTGTAACACAGTTTTTTGATGAATTTTAAATTTCGTTATTGTTAATTATGAAAACATACTTTATAAAAAAGATTGAATGAAATAAAAGGAAGTTTACTTTTTTAATTTAGCAGGATTCTAAGTGTTTAGAAGTTTTTTTTTTATTTCTCAAAATATCTTTAAAGATGTTAGCTTAAGGACTAATATGGAATTTTTCGTAAAATATAAATTTTTTTTTTTTTTTTTTTAATCATTAAACAAAATTAGAAAATATATTAATAACAAGATAACATATATGTACATTATTTTTTTATTTATATTTTTAAATTGAACTTAAGTGTAGAATATAAATTTAAATAGTGTTCGATTATATATATTTAAAAAACTTGTAATATTTAATATAAAATTTCTTTTTATTTATTGCAAATTTTATATTTATATATTTTAATGATGTATAAATAGTTAATATATATTTTTCCTTCATATATTTATTTCTATTAAAGTATAACATGAAAGAAGAAACTGATTAAATTTCTCATTTATATTTGTAGATATAAAATTTTGAAACTATATAATATTTTTTTATAAATAAAGTTTGTACATACACAATTACTTTATTTTCTTATACATTATGTTAAAATATTAGAATATAAAACATTTTTGTTTAAATTATTTATGAAAATATTTAATTCTTAATTATTTTTTAAATTGAAAGATCATATAAATTGTAAAACATCAAATTAAATTTTTTTTATAGATATTTTTTATTTTATTGTGTTTGATTTTTTTTTTTTTTTTTTTTTTCTTGTCATTAATATATGTATTAAGAATTCTTTATTTTTAATATTGTTTTTCTGTATGAATTTTTTATAGTTTTATTAAAAACATAACATTTTATAATAACAATATGCTTTGCATATATATATATATATATTGTTTTATAGTAGTTTTTTTTTAAAAAAAGAATGCCACACGAATATTTTTTAAATATTTATTTATATGCACAATAAATTTGTAGAAGAAAGAGTATTTATTTATATATATTTTTTTCTTTTTTTTTTTTTTCATTTTATATGATACTCATATATATATATATATACTCTATTACTTTTTATTTTAGATCTATTTCTTTTCATTTTAATATTTTTTTTAACTTCTCTTATTTTATATACTTGATATTATTATATATGTTTTATTTTTTTTTTTTTTTTTTTTTTCCTTTCAATTTTAATAGTTTTTTCTTCTATATATTTTGCATAAAAAATACAATATTTGTAAATTAAAAAAAATAATTAAGATACTTATATATAGTTATACATATAAATTTTATTACTCTAAATATATTATTCATAAGATAAAAATATAACAAATTTTTTAAATAATTTTTAGGCTATTAGATGAATGATTAAATATTTTTAAGTATATATTTACATATATCATTATATTTTTTTTTAAAAAAATTTGAGATCTCCACAAAAAAAAAAAAAAAAAAAAAAAAAAAAAAAAAAAAAAAAAAAAAAAAAAAAAAAAAAAAAAAAAAAAAAAAAAAAAAAAAAATAAAAA